TTCTCTGCGTGTATCGCAACTCAACTTCATTGCCTCCATTGCCTTAACTGACCAGCTGTGACGATGAGCTTATCCTAGTGGGATCTGCCGATGAAACTATAAGCTTTAAAGTAAGTGAACCACTTGCGAATATTTTGTCGCGAATAAAGCACCGCTCTCGAATTTAGAACACTTGAGCAAACTTCAAAACGGCGTGTGTAAACTATTTGTTAAATAGTTAATAAGAAATAAATGTGTAACACTCACCATTTTTGGTTACACCAGTACGATGAGATGATTTTACTTGATACTAAAAATGTAGACTCCTACCCCCTCCTGGATTTTTTAATTATAGGATTACTCCTGCCGGACATATAGGCTGAACCATATGTTTCTTGGCCTCTTAGCTTTGTGAACCAAAGAGAATAATCATGAAAGTCGAGAAGATATATTGCACGTACGTTCGAATCGCGATTTGCACCTTTCTCTCTTGCCAACAAAATTCAATTTCAAAAAAGCCTTTTTATTATCAATTATTTACAATGTTTAATACTCAATTTCTTGCAAAAAGCACTGAATAAAAAGAAGACAGAGAGAGATTATTGCTGAAAATTGCAAGAATCGCAATTTTCCTGAACATTTCTCGTAAAGATTACTGCGATCGCTTTAATAAATTTAATTCTAAATCTAGTTCAATCATAAATTTTTACTAGGAAATAATTTAGCGATATAAGTAGCGATATGTCAGGTCTTCAGCACCACTCAGATTTTCCCAAGTTGCTTCTACCTCCTTTTTGGAGCAAAATCTAAACTCTTCAAAGCAATAACTTCAATCATCTCACATTTGGTCTTTAATAAGGCTATTAAAAAAAGTGCAAAAATTGGAATAGTTGTATTCGAAGTGATAACTGATCAGCTGATTAAAACTGATAAAAATAAGAAACAAAAAAAAGCCGAAAACATTTTCTAAACCAGCAACATCATATCAAATTGACCATTTATGTAATGAAATTATTTAAAATAATTTAACAAATTAAAAGATTTAAAGAAATAATTTCAAAATTTAGAAAGAAAAAAAATGGGAAATTTTGTCGTTGAAATAAAAGTGAATTTAATTTTTTTATCACTTTCTGTTATCAATATCAATGACTTAACAATGGAAGTGATGTTGAAAAAAAAGTTATTTTATTTTTTTAATTACAAAACAATCTTTCAAAACAATTTTTAATGAGAAACTTGATTTTATAACCATAAAACACTTAAAATAAACCCATTTTTTTGTGAATATATAAAAATTCGAATACTTTTACGATTTTCTATTAAAAAATAAGAAGAGATAAGAAATAATAAGATTTTTATAAAATAAGTAGAGAGCGATCGTTCCGAAGTTTATACCTCTCCAAGGTTTATCTCCGAGTATCTCCGAGACCCCTATTAAAAAATCCGAATGCTGCTAACGACGCATCGATACTTCTATGAATCCGTCAAAAAATTTTTCAAGCAATCAGCTTTACCAGAACTTGGTATTCATTAACATTTAAACTATAAAGAAAAGTGCAAATGAGGAAAAAACACGGATATAATAATATATTTTGAAGGAAAGGGGGGGGGGGAAGGGAAAAGGACGAGGGGAGAACGAGGGAAAAAGAAGGAAGAAACCAAGCATAAGAAATGGAAATTTCGAAATCCATTCGTGGGCTAGTTGGTTGCTATGAAATGAAATTTTTAAGTGATTGAAATATCTAAATTTACGGATCAAAATATTATACAAAATATTAAAGATTATACAAACGAAAAAGCCCACAACTAATAAAATATTACAAAAGCAAATACTTTAAAAAAACATTCCGAATTTTTCTTTAAATCCGAGTTTTTTCTTCATTTTTAATAATTTTCAACTGCTTTTTAGTTTTTTTATTTTTGTTTTTATTTTATTTTTTTTAAAATAAATTTTGTTCTATTTTTTTCTTATTTTCAATGACTTTTTATTGGCATTTTTCTTTCTTTTACCTCGTAAAACTTAATTCGTATGGCTTTGAACTAACAGTTTGCGAAAAGGCCGATAATATCAAGCGAAACCAATTGATTATCAGTAGTGAAGATAAAAAGAAAAAATAAATTGCTACTATCAGAAAATCGCAGCTCGTAAGTCATTGGTACTAGCATGAAAAACTATAAAACTATAAAATGATAAATCTTTTGAATAAGCCTTTAAAAAATTTTTTAAAAATCTTTATGAGAAGCAAAACAGGCACATTTTATTATTTATAAATTTGCTTTATTCAAAAAGATCATTATCATTGTCAATATAATATTATTATTGAAATATAAAATTATTTTTATTACTATCATTGTTATTATTTTTATTATTACTGTTGTTTTTCATTTATTATCATTGTTGTTATATTATTATATTAATTAATATCGTGTTACATATTGATAACAATAATATTAGTTATTATTGTTATTTTTATTATTATTACTATTATTATGAATATCACTATTATTTATTAAGTAAGAAGAAAATTATACTTATCAAGATTGAGAGTGCTTCATTAAAAAATTCTTATTCCATAGTCCATAGCAGTGTTATTTTATGAAACTTTTAGTGTTGTGGCACAACAAATAAAATCAATTAACAACTATCAGAGACGATTCTCCATTCAAAATATTTTAAACAATAAAAAGCTATTGGACTTAAAAATAGGAAAAAAATACAAATAAATAACTTAAATGAAAACTAACCGAATTGTTGATTGAATAATTTAACTGTAGTTTTTGGTGAATCCAAAATTAATGCACAAAAAATGTCCTATTTAATGAAAAATAATAATAATCTGCAAAAAAATTGAATAATTAATTAAAATTAATCAATTACAAATGAAAATGAAAAATTATAAAAATTTGCAATAGAAATATAAATTTAAAATATTCCAATTAAAGAAAGTTTTTTGTTTTTGTTTTAGCTGAATTATTTTTATTTAAAATTAATATTGAAAATGCATAAAAATGATTGAAAAACGAAAGAAAATAAAAAAAAAACATTCATAAATGGTGGAAACGTTTTGTGAAACAATCTCAAATCACAACTCACCTTTTTACAATTCGCCAAACGCCGAATAATTTTTCTTACTTTTCTCGAGTCTTTCTTATCATTGTTTATATCGAGCGATTTCGAAATTTTTGCAATGCCTCTTGCAATATTATTATTATTATTATTATCACTACATTGTTTTTCCATACATACTACAGATTGCACTTACGTAGCACCATCGATTGACTGATATTTACGGCAGACAAATTTTGTAGAAAAAATTTCACGTTACCAACTTCTTCTTCTAACAGCTCTCACCATTACTGTTAGGCTGCCTCCAACGGCCACAAGGGTAAGACGCTTCCAAGCGGAGTGGTCTGATGCCATCGTCGACAGTAATAGAAGCATTCCTTTTTCCATCGTTCATATAAGTCCATATATTGCTGGTCCACCTATACGTTCAAAATCTTTTTTCACCGTATCAGTCCAGGTCTTTATTGGCCCACGTGGCTTTTAATGCCAACCATCACACGGTTTAGCAAGTAATGAAATATACGTCAACTCCTGTGGTGGACAACGGAGAATGTGTCCTAACCAAAGAAGGCGACGCTCTGTTATTAATGCAAGTGGTATTTGAACGAAGATGGATACGATCATGTGATATCTTATCCGCTCGATGGACCCGTGAAATGTACCTTAGACGAAAGACACCAACATTTACACATGACTAGTTGCGATCGTTTGCTGCTTCAAGAAATTTCCTAAATATTCCATAATATTTCATTTCGCATTAAAGAAAGAATAAAAATAAAAATAATTAATAATTGATTAATTTATGAAAAAATTATTTTCTTTTGCTTTTATTTTTCCAGTAGCAAAAACTCTAGATGAATTTACGCGATAAAGGATAATTAATAAAACAGTTCACTGCCAAAAAAAGCATAAAAATAAATGAAATAATTTTACGATAAAGAAAAAGTTTTGTAATGAAATATTTTAGTAAAATTATTTTATTCAAAATGAAAAATTTATTTTAAAAAAATTCGATTTCGAAATTCAGAAATTCGAAATCTCAAAAATAAAAATAAAAAACAAAAATAAAAATTTGACAATAAAGTCAAAAATTATTCCGCATTCATCGAAGAAAACATGAAATTCGACTTAAAATTTTGAGTTTACTTTTCCCCTCAAAAAATTCAAATTATCCGATTCATTAGCAAATATTAGCCGTCATTGAAGTGTAATTTTTTCAACAAACCTCAAAATTTACACTTTTATCCTTCGGTTTTTCGAATTCTTTCGCTTTATTTCCTTTGTTATGACTGAATATGAATATAATTGAATTTTTTGCATATTTATTAGATATTTGGGAAAAGAAAAACTTGAAAGAATATAACGAAAATAACATAAATATTTTGTTGAGTATATTGAACGAAAACTTTTTCGCCTAAGGGAATATGAATAAGCATAGTCAAACACAGTTTCAGAATGAATTACTAGCGGAGAGCCTTCTTTGAATCTTTATTCAAGTAGACCAAATGAACATTTACAATAGCCTAACTCTCTTTTAATTCCACTCCACATCGTGAAAATTTATATTTAAATTTAAAACTCATATGATAAAATTATATTTTTTTGGATGAAGATGAAAATTTGTAAATTTGTAACAAATAAAACTAAGTGTCGTGGGAAATGTTGTCAAAAAAAAAAATTTTTTTGGAAAAAATATTTTCAAAAATTATAAAAAAATATAAAAAAAAGTGAGATTCAAACGCTTTTGCATTCCAAATTTTAGACAAATTATATGCATCATTCGTTTATAGCAAAAATTTTGCATAAATTTGACTTTGCGGTTATCTATTATATTATATTATTGCCTTTGTATAAAAAGGATGCAAAAATGCAATTTTTTCCAATAATTTTTAAGCATATTTTTTCCAGTAAAAATTCCTGTAAATGATGATGAAAGATTTTTCATTACACCAAATTACTTTTGTTCTTGTTCTAAACGAATGAGTTCTTTTACTCCATCATACATCTGTTTGACAGCTTGATATTCTGTTAAGCCCAAACGTGCCTAAAAATTTAATAAATAAAATAATTTATCGGAAACAACGAAAGAACCAATCAAAATTGATATAAAAGAAGCACCAAAATTTATATTGTTCATTATAATCAAAATCTTCGAAAAAAACTACCTTGTTTGATATATCATACACTCCTCCTTCACTTTCTGAATGTTCACCATGAATGCCACGTACTTGCAAATTGAGTTTTTCGCAAATTCCCTACAAAATAAGATAAATAAGATAAAAGTAAGAAGATAAATTAATGAGAAAAATAAAAAACCAGTATTTTCGAAAATCTTACTTTATATATACTTTATACATATATATATATATATATCCAATATCGAAAAATTAAAAAGCATTAAAAAATTAAAAAGCATACTATCGGATCTGTGATCACTTCAATTTTATTTTGAACTTTAATTCCATTATCTACATCTAAAAACATAAAATCACCACAACAGACCCATCAATAATTCCAAAAATATTTACCTTGAAATCTGAACGAGCAGACAACTTGGGCAATCGAATGTGCACAGAGGCCCGTACAGTGGAGCCGAGATTTGTAGGGCAAAATGTTAACCATCCTAAGCGACTATTTCGTGAAAAAGAAAGTTCAGATTCCAGTGCCTAAATAGACAAAATAAGAAATTTTACTATCAAACTGGAGACTCAAAAAAAAATATTTCAATGATTTGAAAGGATGAAATAAAACCATAAGAAATATAGTGTGAACAAAAGAGAAAACAAACTTTAATGCCTCGCACGAGTCGATCCAGAACTTCCCCAACAGCGCTTCCATTTTGCATGGAGATTATTCGCATATGATCTTCTTCATTCACCCAAATTAAAAATGTTTTATTGGTATTATGATATATTCCACGACCCTGAAATCTTCAATATAATCAATATATCAATTTTATTTAACAAATAGTGAAACGGATATTTAATTAGAATAATTCTAATTTTTCAGATTTTTTCGAGTTTAAAACTTATGATAATACTTATGAACTTATGATAAACTTATGATAATTATGAAACCTTTGGCCAATATTTGCATGCATTAGCCTGTTGCAAATGTCGATCACATTCTTTAAACAAAAAATGATCATTGGTCAATTGTTGTTGTACACTGTTAGTCATTCCATCCAACTTATAATATATTCCTTTGAGTTCTTCGTCTTTTATCGATGCCAGTGCATTTTTAATCTTCAATTTTTTATTATTTTAAAAAATAGACAGAAATTTCTTACACTTTCACTGAGAAATGCAAAAGTACTTAGCTGATTTCACTGATTAAAGTTGGGAAAAAAAGAAAATTATGAGAATTTAAGAATTATGACAATAATTGACAAATATCCCAGTCTAGAATAAAGTTGGGAAAAAAAGAAAATTATGAGAATTTAAGAATTATGACAATAATTGACAAATATCCCAGTCTAGAATACTTTTTTTCTTCTTAAAAATAATAAATTCAATAAATAATCAAATAATGCGTAAAAAATAAAATTGAAATAATAAAAACTAGTTATTTGAAAAAATAAAGATTACCCTTTCCTGTATGATTAAATAATCATCTTGAGTGAGCAAAGGATTGAAAGGATAACCTTCAAGCGATCTTCCGCATCGTATCCTACGAAGAAAACATTCACTTACTTTATAAAACATTTTCTATACTTAAAAACTTAATTTACTCTTATATACTTGAAAACTTAAAAACTTAAAAAATTAATATTGATGCTATCAGTGTCAGTGCCATTAGTGGAGAAAAAGCAATAATTTTTCAACAATAGCTGTAAAGAGGAAAATAAAGAGAAAAATAAGTACCTGGTCGACTTTATATATTTTCCTTTTGGATCAAGAGGAGGAAAATCTGAACTTTTTCCCTCACCTAGATCAACTGGTGGTTGCATGTCACTGGATGAAAATCCATGATAATCCTGTATAATCTTATCAAAAAGGGGTGCAAAAGTCTTATAAGATTCTGCATCCGGTGCATATACACCAACGCTCGCATCCAAATTAAATACGCCTACAAATATAGAAATTTCTAATCCAGTTAGCCTAATGTCCACTTTTGAACGTACCAAAGAAAGATGATTGATCGAAAAATATATTGTCTAAGTGAAAAATATATTATCTATCATTTTTCTGCTACACTTATCCTTATTTCACGTAATATACCTGAACGAATAACATCATATAAGGATGCGCCAAGTTTCGTTTTTTTATATTTCAGTTTATCAAGTATATGCTTTGAAAGGTGTTTCTTCAAAAGAGAGTGACAGTTCTCGGCCTAAAGAAAATAAACTGAAGAATTTCATATGGTCAAATTTAATAAATTCTAAGAATTGTAAGGTAAATAAGTTTAATTTACTTCCTGTAATCTTTTATAAGCTTCTTCAATTTTTTTTACTGTGAACGCATCAGTTTCATTTATTTGAAAATTTGTCATAAACATATCCCAATTCTGAAATCATTTACGTATTTATTGCAGAATTAATAATTTAGTTTTAGTAATTTGTTCAAGTTCATTACAAGTGTCATATCCAATATAAAGAAAAAAATATAAAATTTATAAAAACACTGTTGAAAAAAATATATAATTTTTTTAAAGAAAAATTTGAAAGAATCGAAAATAAAAAAATGATAAAGAATTTTTTTGCATGGATTTTAATAATTTTTACGATGGCCTTAGCACGAAGAATTTCATGAAAAAAGTAGAGAAAATATAATAAAATAAAAATATGTAATAAAATAAGGTACAAAATACGACATTTAATATGATATTTATATGGCTATTTTCGCATGAAAACCAACCAATTTTTATAACTTTTATAAATTTATAAATTTTATAAACTAACACGCGGATAAAAATATGCATAAGTAGTAAAGCCAGCAGCTGCAGCCAGAATTCCACCAAAAATAAGTTTCTGATTAGCCATTAGCGGAAAAATATTATACGTCTAAATGAAGAGAAAATAAGAAAATGGAAATTCGAGGGAATTTCGAAATCTAATTTTAAATTTCCTTTCCAAATCAGTAAATGCTCGGTGATTTTTTCTCCAAAAAATTTCCCTTACTCCGCGATGAATTGGCGATTTTTAAAAAATATTTCGAAAAGCGAAAATTTCGCTACGCCAAACTTACATCGTTAAATATCACAATGAAATTTCCATAAAATTTTTCTTTTTAATTAAATTGAAAAGCGGGAATTTAAGAAATTTCTTCAATCTAATTTTATTTCGAATTTTATTTTTTTTAAAAGTGACAAAACCTTGAAAAAACTGAAATCCCAGCGAAATCCAACAATACAAAGACTTTTACCAAAATTTTCTGGGAAAATAAAACATAAACGACGGCAAATTGTGATTTTAAACACGGTGGAAATCCCAGCGAGTCCGAAAAATTACCGTAATGCATATTTTCCGCTTAAAAAACAGTGCATTTAAATCTTTTCTCTCGCACAAACGATAATTCAATTTTGAAGTCATAAATTAGCGATTAATTCATTGTACTTATTGCTTCGCTTCAATTTTTTTTTGCTAATTGTTTTAAATCGTTAATTTTGAGAATAATTTCTAAAATTGGTTATTTTTAATTCAGAAGAATTACTTAATTTTGTTTCATTTTTTTTTAAAAAATGTTCTTAAGTAATATTTTAAAAAAAATATTTTAAACTAATTAATCAATCGATAATCTTTGAATTTTTTGAATTTTGAATTAATTTTCATTCACAAATCTCTTTTTTCTTACTTTAATAATCATTTAATTGGAATTTTAATTGTAATTTCCTTAAAATTTAATACTTTTTTCGTAATTTTTTAATTTTTAATTTTTACCCATTTAAATTATTTTATAAAATTAATTCCAAAGGCAATTCCTCATTAATTTGCTTCCACGTAAATTCGCCATGGGTGTCTTATAAAAGGCACCCATTGCATGTTAAACTATTAATAGAGGGTGCTTTTTATGTACAACTAAAAATAGAATTTGGCGAAGTGCCAAACGGCTCTAATGCAATTTGTCAAAATTTTCGCGGATGTGAAATTTGCGGATGAGAATTTTAAAATAAATATTGACTTAGGTTTTCGGCGTAAATTATTTACTCAACTCGTATGAAAATTCCGCTAAAATGGCTTTTGCACAGCACATTTCAGTCCGAAATTGTCCCCATTTTTGCATTCCAAATCGCTTTCGAAATTATTTTTAATTTGCTTTTTTTTGCGTTTAATTCTTTTTATTTGACGAAATGCAATAATATTTGTTGAACGCATCGGAAATTTTTATTTTTTCGCACTTTAAAATGCCTTTTTAATTTTTAGAATTCTTCCATAATATTTTCGCTTTAATTTTTCATTTTTTGAATTTTTTCCCACAAACATTTCTTATTAATCATTTAATTTTTTATTTCTCTCTTTTCAGATATTCTGCACATTTCATTTTTTTAAGTATTTTATTGGTTCTTTTTTTTAATCAAAGTTTCTTCTGCGCTTTTACAATAATATATTATTTAAATATTCCTTGAATTTTATTTCTTAAAAGTAATCAATAATGTTATTTTTCGGCGTTGATAAGAATCCCTTATCAAATATTTTTTCCTAAAATTCTGATAATGACTTTCGAGTTTCGTGGAAAAAGTATCGACGATGAGATTTTTAATTAAATTAAAAATTATTATTTAAAAATTTAACAAAAATTTAACGAATTAATTCCCGTTTTGCGCTGAAATTATTCCAGTCGCTTATTTTAAAATAATTCATTGAATTTTATTTTAGGAAAAAAAGGTTCGATTTTTTATAATAATGAATGAATACAATTGTTTAATCAAAATTTTTAATGGTATTTTTCACAGAATTTGCTTTTTTTAAAGTTTTCTATTATTTTCTTCTTTTTAAATTTATTTTTATTTAAATTCTATAGTTTTTTTTATCGAGGATTTGACTATTTTTTAAATTTATTAATAGTTTATAATTTTTTTTTTTAATTCTTAGATATTTAAAAATTAAATATTAAAGTTTTTGAACAAATATATAATAGAATAATAATAAAATAAAATTTAATAATAAATGCAATAATAAAAAATAAAATTTTAATTTATTATTTATCGATAATTATTTTTCGAGAAAAATTTTTTAATTCGTCGAAGAAGAAAAAAATTCCTTCAGAAAATTCCTTTTTTTTCCACAAACTGTTTCTACAAAATACAAAATTCATTGGTCATTGTGATTCGTAAATTTTGTTTTTAGTTAAAATATTTGGTAAGAATTATTGCTATTTAATATTTAACATTGTGATTCATTGCTTTTTATTATAAAATTTATCAGTTTACGAATATTTTATTCGAAATAAATGATCACCATTGATCATACCATTGATCATTTTCCGGCCTTCAGACTTAGTGCATTGGCTGCCGAGTAAGTCATTTGGCGATAGAAGCATGAAGATGAATCGCGAGCGCCGTCCGAATTTATCAATAAGGGAGAGTTACTCCAGTCAGAGGTAAACACTTTTATTGTGAAAAATTGCTTATGGCTTGTTTTTTTTTCGAAGAGCATTCATTCATCAATTCTGGTTAGATCGGCTTCGCTGGCTTCTCGGACAAGGCAAATTTTCGAAGAGTCATTTGGCGTTTGAAAAGTAGGTGAGTCACCAGCATCACGCGGATTTTTGTGGAAGATGGGTTTGGTTTTCTCTCCTCCTGCTTGAAGTAAACTCATTTAGCTTCGGCGTTCTGATCCGCTCCGCTAAATTCTACTCTTTTTATCCATTCTGCTTTATAACTTAATTAATTAACTATTAAGCTTCAATTGTTTATTTTTTAATTTTTCATATTATTTTGCAGGAATGATAAAAAAATGATAATTTATAGAAGATGGCGACTGATCACTGCAAATATTCGACATATGATCGTAATTTTATAGGTTATTTTGTTTTATTTAATGGTTATAAATAAGATGGATGCATGCTTTAAGCAGCGTATATTTATTTATTCACTTTTATAAATGATTGCCCGTCACGATTACGATGATTAATATCGAAAATGTACGAAAGCTTCTTGTTTGTTTAGCTTAGTTAAACTGTAGAAAAGTTAGTTAAATCAATTATTTATTTTATAAATCGTTGAGATTTTATAAATTTTTTTAAATTTATTTTTTTATTTTTTAAATTAAAATTTATTAAATAATTTTTGATGAAAAAATCGATAAGTTATGAATATATTTTTTTTATTTTATTTAAATTTTTTTTCATTTTAATGACCATTCAATATGATTTTTATTTAAATGGTTTAAAGCGGCAGACAAATCGCAAAATAATTGCAAACGCAAATTAAATTGATTAATTATAATTATAACAAAAATTTGTTGTTTTAAATTATTTTTTATAATATTCATTTTAAATTTTCAATCAATATTTGTAATTGTTTACTTTGTTTGTTTACTTTTATAACTTTAAAATAACTGGTTTTTGATTTTTTTTACTAGTCACGTTTCATCTTCGCTACTATTACAGGTTTTATTATTTATGTCTTCGTCCTTTTTTTGACGCTATATTCTTCGATTGTCGAATCGATTGCTACGGTTGAAATTTCTCGATTCTTATCTTTATTAATGATTTTAAATGCATTTGTTATATTGAGATGCGAATTTAAGCTTTAAGCGATACGAAAGAACTAAAACCGCGAAAAAATTTTTGCTAATATTTGATTACAAAAATTTTAGTTGGAATTATTAATTTATGGATGTCGAGTTGACATTTCTTTTTGTATTTCTCCTCGTTGGCATTACTAATTTATGGATTCATAGTTTGATATTTTATATTTCAGCGTATTTTTGGTTCGTTGTCTCCATTCTAATGGTGCAAAAAATGATTTGCCCAGTTTTTTTCTAATTTTATATTGTCGTTGTTTTTTCTATTATTTTATATTTCTAATATTGCGTGGCGTATGTTTTCGATAATCTGATAATTTTATTCTATAATTCTCCTATAATTGTTTTATAATTAATTTCAGATTTTAAGATGGTTATAAATATTTAATGGATGGCAGTAAAAGTATTCCTGTAAATCTTTTCGCTTGTAATCATGATATGAACCTAACGATTAATAAATTTCTTACGTCGAACAGTATTTTACAATCTGCTGGATCGAATCAAAATAACGACGATCATCATTTTTGGTTTCTTCTTTTTTTTCATATAATAAATTTTATGAATTTTTAGAGTTTTTTATCAATTTTTCTTATTATCAATAAAATTCAAAATTGTTCTTTAAAATTTGGAATTAGTGAATTAATAGTAAAAAGTATTTATCAATTTTGCATTTTCATAATTTTCATTTCTTTAGCGAAAAAATCATCGAATGCACATTGTAATATAATTTAATTGATGATCAAAAAATGAGATGAATAGAAGTCTAAGTGAAGATAATTCCAGTTTTTTTTAAAATATCGATATAAAAGTTATATGAAAAGGAAAAGTGCAACGTTATAAAAATTATAAACTTTCAAGATAGTTTTATATTTTATATTTTAAAATATTTTGTTTTCTTTTTTTAGATTTTATTTATTTTTCTTATTTTTTTTAAAATATGCTGATTTGCAGTTATCGTGAAAAAAATATGGTGAAATCAGATTCCGTGGATAATTTTTCTACGATTCGATCTGAAATTAATAACTGTGAAAATTCTCATTTAATGGAAAAATTTCAGCAAAAGTTGGCTTATTATTTATTAATTTATTTTTGTTTATTTTATTCGAATCATTTTGCGTTTTGTTGTTTTTTTTACTTTTTTTTCGAAACAAATTTAGATTTTTTCGATTTCGATAGAAAGAACAATATGATTTAGGTGATGAATTATTTCGATAAGATTATTGCTCTTTGAAAGGCTCAAGTTAATCAAAAGTTATCTGCAGAGTTATTTAGTGTGGGCTGTAAGGCTGTTTAATGATCTTACCAGGTGGTCGAGTGGTATTTGTCTTTCTTCGACTATGTTCCATCATAGGCTGTATTCCTGTTGCTTGACAATAGTAAAGACCCTGTCCTTAAAAGACAAAGTGAAAGTGGCGACAGAGGTCCACATGCTTTTCGCAGGATATTTCCATATAACTGCCGAAAATTCCTATTTTAATAGACAGCGGAATCAACCAAGGAATGATGAATGTTATTAGAAGAAAAAATGAAGGAATTATATGAATGATGGCAAGGAATCACTATTTTTCGGTTTCTGGCATGAATTATCAGTTTTGTAGTTTTGGTTTCATATTTGCGCTCACTCTTTTATTTTTTATTTTTCCAAGGCTATTTTGCTTTGTTACTGAAAATCTCTAATGGAGCTTAAGAACGAAATATCTCAGTGGGTTGTTACTGTTGTTTCAGAGGTTCTATACTCAGCAAAGTAAGCATTTTTTCGGTTTCTGGCATGAATTATCAGTTTTGTAGTTTTGGTTTCATAGAGCATTTTTTTTAAAATTCTGCTAGCGACTTATCTGTATTTCTGTCGTCATTTGATTCTCTGATCCAAAGTGCTGGTGGAGCGTGGTTAACCAGAAAAGTGAGCGCTCTTTAAAAAAAAATGACGAATTTGATGGTTGGACTGCATTTATAGTTGATATTTAAATGTCTTTGTTTGGTTTGATTATTTGACTTTGCACTAAAGTTATTCTCTCGTATCGTATATTTTATTATTTTTTGTCGATTGTTATTTTTCATTATATACAATACAAAATGTGTAATATAATATGGGATAATCCTCAGCCTCGGGTCCTCTACTAGAGGCCTGAGAACTTGAGGGTTCTATGCAGTATTTTAACTATTTTGAATAGTGCATTCTTCTGGGCGAAGATTTTTGATTTTTGATTCTTGCAGCCATTTTTAGAGAGTTCCAAGTGCTCCAGTTAACATTGAGACCATTTCGACCTTCACTTTTCATAGCTTCTCTAATTTCTCTTTCTACTCGTGGTATTTCTTATGCTTCTCATGTTCTTATTAACTTTTATATCAATTGATACTGCTATGTCTATCAACCGGTGCTGATTTTGGTTCTTATCTAATTTTACTATGTTATCTGGTTGACTGGTCTGTACTTATTTGTCTGTTTAGATAGACTGAGTCGATATTCCTGTGGATAATGGCAGCCACTTGGCTATACCTTTCATTATATGCTTCTTATATTTCTTGTTCTTTCAGAATATTATATTTCGTTATTTTATCTTTATTATATTTTATATAAATTATAAGTTCATATATATGATGTTCATATATGATATTATTTAAGGTCGAATCAGCCATTTCCATTGGAGTTTTCAGTGCAGGTTACAACATCTGACCGTTCAGGTTTACTTTTACTCCTCATTAGTTTCATTTTAACCCTTTCCGCTCTCTAAATTATTTGCATTTTTCTATTTTAAAATTCTCGAATGTGATTTTGTGGAAAATAATTTTTTTTATAAGTTTTTATTTTTTCATTATTACGAAAATACATTATCAAGAAATTTAGGGAAGAGCGGTCAATTACACCCGACAGCCATGTCGAGCCGGAGTGAAGCAGTACAGTATCTTGCGACTGATAAATTTCAGGAAAGGTTGGCTCTTCATCTTCTATTTTTTAATGATATTTGTCCAAGTTGTTTTATTGGAAATTTTATGATAGAAGTACTTAATAAATTCAAGGCCACAGGAAACATTTGGTTTTTTTATCACAAAAAATTGAAAACTTTAAAAACTTTGCAGAAATTCATTTCCTTATATTGCTGGGACTTTCAGATTTTTTTTGTTGTTAGATTTAAATATCTCATTTACTTAAGGCAAGGTAACACTGAATTAAAAGGTGATGGTCATGCTCGACCAGATTTTGCTCGTAATGATTTGCGACGAAAATCAACGATGAAATCAATTCGGCGATTAATTAAAAGATATTTGGGATTTGGGTCAAAGGTAAATTCAGAATTTTTTTCTTTTTATTATTTTTGGTCAATAGGTTATGAGTTATTTTCTTTGGTTTTTTTTTATATTCATCAGATGAATGGAAAAATTTTTTAATTTTTTAAACAGGGCCAACATCGAGAGTTGCGAAACAACATTACCACATCACTTCCGCTTCATATGGTTAGTTTTTGATTAATTTTTTTGCACAACATACCGTATTTATTTAGATTTACTACTCATTCTTTTTCATTATTTTATGTTCTTTTTTTTTAATAAGTGCTGATTATTCTTTGGTCCATTCATCGAAAATAAATTCATGGATAGAAAGATATCACCAAAATTCGATTTTCCTAGGGAAGTGTGGATAGTTTGGTGTTTTACCCAGTTTATTAACAAGATGTTTTTGTCAAAGATCCATTATTGTTCGACTCTTATTCTTAACAGGAAATTTTGTTATCAAAAATAGAAGGGTTACTGGGGATCCACCTGGATTTTTTTGTGGATCTCAGTCAAAAACGTTTTATATATTATTCAATGAGTTATTGTGCCTATCGTATTTTCTATTTATTTTCTATTCCATTTTATCATCGATTTTTTTTTAATTCCAAGGAATACATATGTTGATTTTGCATACAGCCAGGTTTAATTGCGAGTTTATGTAAAATGGTTAGCAAATCACCATTATATATTCTATTCTTCCTCTTATAAGATATATTCTTTTTTTAAAAATATTTCTGGTTTTTCACCATTTCTGGTTTTTGATGGCTGTTTATTTGTATGATAACCTTTTTTCAGAGGACCATTTGAATATAATGGTGAGATCTTTAGTGCCATACATTCTGATCATTTCATTCTCATCAAGAGATTTGGTAGCATTTGATCTTAACCGAAGCAAAATGTTAAATGCTACCCGAGACTGTCATTCCCATTTGTCTAATTAAAATTTTCTTTTTTAATTTAGAATGAACCATCTACTTCATTCACTGAGATAAAGAATCTTAATGGACTAAAGCGAGATTCACGCAATGGATCATTTATGAATCCGTCTCCTAATTTAAAAAACCGTCGAAATGAGCAATCTTCAATCCGATCTAAACGAAATCAGGTATAATTTCTTAAAGACAATACATATTAGATCTTTTTTATCATTTTTTTAAATTTTACAAAGTCTTCTTTTTAAAAGTCATAATTATATATTATTCAGAATGGTCGTCTTCTTAAAAGTAGCTCTAGAACTAGTCTTTCTCATGCGGCTGATGCTTCATGGCGACGTAGATCATCAACTGGTATTAATGGTGTCACTGAATCTATTCAGCGTCGCAGTAATGATTCTATATTTATCGCTTCCAATAATCGAGTTGTAGAAGATGTAGACAGTGGTGTTGACTCTCCAGTTGATAGCAAATTTTTTTTCGAATATTCATCACCTTGTTTAAAAGGTTTGCGTATTATTAATTCTTCGGTATGTAATCATTGTAATATTGAAGCCTTAAAATTATTTGAAACTGGTAGTTCCAATTCTCAGATTTCTTACATTTTAGGAATCGCAAATATCGGTAATACCTGTTATATCAATTCAGTTTTGCAATGTTTAGCTGCTATTGAATCATTTGCTGAATATTTCGTTTTAAAGAAATACGTAAAAGATCTCAAAGTAAGTCTTTTCTTTCATTTATTTTATCATTTATCATAAATTTTATCAAAAATCTCATTTAATGAGAATGTTGATTGGTTTTTAAAGGAAAAAAATCGCCTTCAACAACAGAATAGTCATCAATTTGGAACGGATGGCTTAATAACAACAGCCTTTGCCAATTTACTAAGGTCATTATGGTTTAATGAGCCTACTGATTCCATGATTCGTTACTTTCGATCATTGATTGGTCATTTCAATGGCGATTATCGAACATCAACTCAACAAGTTTGTTTAATTTCGTTTAATTTCGCTAGTTGATTAGAGTTGATTATGAAAGTTTCCTTGAAATTTTTATATATGCAAATTCAAGGATGCTCAAGAGTTACTGGTGTGGCTTTTAGACAAAATTCATGAAGATCTCAATCTTGCCACTTCGCGTAAATATAAAGATGTTAAAGTAAGCATTTTTCAAGCTATTTTAAATATTCTTAAATATGCTTTAAAAAAAGAAATAAAATAATTGGAAAATCAGTTTAATGAATCAATAATAATTTTGGCATAGATACGAGGATCTGAAGAAGACCTCGCAGAGAGTGCTCGTGATAATTATCTGCACGTGCATTGTTCAATCATAACTTATTTATTTGGTGCTCAGTTCCGATCTAGCATTCAATGCAAGAATTGTTCTTTCACGAAACTGAATTTCGACCCCTATATGTGTGTTTCTTTGCAAGTTCCGCAGGAGTTAGTCTTTCGTTTATTCACCGCTCTCTGTCTTGTTCTGTTGTATTGGTTTTATTGCCATCCATATCGGCTTATAGATATTCTAGTTTATTGTTTTTACAATGAAAAAAAATACTTTGCAGTACACGGCGGGCCATATATGTTACGCTTGCTCTTATAAATCCTGGAACAAAACGTATTCGTTTTGGATTGAATGTCGAAAGAAATGGTAGAATTCGTGATGTGAAAGAGTGTCTAAGTTGTGAAACAAACATCAGTGAAGGGAGGGTAAAATTTATTTTGTTTATTTGTTAATTTTAATATTGAATTTGTTTGTTAACTTTAATATTGAACCAAACGAGAGAGAGTGAACTATGCTGATTTTAAAAAAATATATATTTTATATTTTATATAATATATATTTATATAAAATATTTTCTATAAATATATATGAGTATTTCCAACGCAGAATATATGCATACAGCAGAATACATTATGTATGGAAATTTGGACAACAGTATACGTTTACTCTTACTTTTTGAATATCGTTATTTCTAGCTTATTGCATTGGAATTATGTGATGATGGTTTCCGTCCAGTTCTAGCAAATTCAATGTTCGTTTATGAGTTAATATCGAATGAAATCAGCGCAATTGAGTTACCAAAGAATTCCTTAACTAGTTATGATATATTTATTATTTTCGTCGTCGTTGAAGTAGAAAATGCTTCTAAACAATATTTAAGGTAATTTTCGATATAAAATTTGAAATTATGGAGAATTTTCGTGGAATATCTATTTTTATTTTCTCATTTCAATGCTAACTAAAACTTATTTTCATTCTTTAGGTTGACACAGCCATACATCTGCGTAGTTCCACAGTATTCATCCTATCGAGCCATATGTATGGCGATGTTAGACACAGTATTGTTATCAAAAAATAAAAATGATAATCAGCATTACGCTTCATTTATGAATTGTTCGAATTTTAATCTTCGTATTATCGATGAAGGTGCATCCTACGTCTACTTAAATCCAAATGCATCCATGCCCATGCTTACGAAATCCGTGCAACGGTATGAATGATGATTACTTTGTCTTTGTTTTTTTTGCCTAATTAATTTACATCGATATTTGATTTCATTGGAATAATATTTTTTTTGATGGATTTGATGTGATGCACTTTTGCATTTTTTGCACTTTTAGAAGTTTTTTAGATTATTCTATAAGTCGGATTAATCGAAAAAAAGTCTTTTTTATTAAGATATGATTGCATGTGCTAATTATGTTAGAAATATTCAAGATTCTTCCATTTAGTTTTCTATTTTTATTCTTTATTTTAGTGCTGTGGCCAATACACTGATGGCCAGTGGTACTAATATAGCTGTACTGCCTTTGGTAATGGAATGCAAGGAATCCTGCTTAAACAGGTAAAATTTTCATTAAACTCTAATTTTTTTTGATATAAGTATTCAGATATTTATGGATCAAGAAAAATTTATTTCAGCATGGTTTCTCAATGTCGTGATGAAATAGTTATTCACCAGTCTTGTGAAATTTTAGAAGAACAAATGAAATCATGCCCAGCGACTCTGGAACAATGCCTGAGTGTCAGTTCTTTCCAGCGTTTTGAATAATCATGACTTATTGGTTTCTGTTAACTATGAAAATCACTGTAAATGTTATCATTTATTTTTAGGAATTCAGTAGTGCTGAATCCATTGAATGGCATTGCGAGAATTGTTTCGCGAATGATGCTGAGAAAATTATGAAATTCCGTTCGCTGCCAAATATTCTTGTCTTTCATTTCAAGCGTTTCCGTCAAGTATATTTTGCTTTATGTTCTATAAATACTTTCACGAAATGTGAATACTGAAAATCTTCAATTTAAATTTTTCATCATTGCTAAAAATTAGTGACTTTTTGTGATACCTTTTTTCTTCTACAGATGAGTGATGGATTAATGGTTAAGTTAGATCGTGCGGTGCAGTTCCCGATTGAAGATCTTGAGATGTCTCCATATGTTTTTCACAGTGGTCATACGCCATCAATGGCTCGCAAAAACCAGGTAGGTCATAGACGATGAAAGAATACGAAATTTGGGATTGATTTAAGAATTACGGTTGGTTTTTACTCATGGTTCGTTGCTCCATTTCTCCCAAGAATTTTTTTTCAGGCGACGAATTTACAAAATGATAAATATACGTATTATACATCTTCTTTAACGAAGTTTGTTTTTAAAAATATTCATTATTGGACAGACAAAACAAATAAACAAAACTGTCAAACAAAACAAAAAATCTATACTTTGGTATATATGCAAAGAATTCTTTTTTAATGTATTTATGAATATTTAAGGTTTCATTTTTAGTGGTGCCTCGGTGTCTGATACGCTTTATATAAATACAGCTATGAATGTGTATGACTTGTTCGCAGTTGTTCATCATCGTGGTGATTCGGTGAATTCGGGTCACTATACTGCTACGACTAAAAATCCAGTCGATGGAAAATGGCGTCATTATGACGACCACTTGGTACGTACTATCGACCGTATTGAAACTCTCAATATGAGTACTGCCTATCTCCTATTTTATGAAAATCGTGCAGTTCGAAGACAATTTGCACAGTCATCATCAGGTTAAATTCGATTTATTAGATATAATTCATTCAATAAAGTCAGATTGTGGCATTTAAGATAAAAATTAAGGCACAAAATCTGTAAGCCCTATTTTAAATAGCATTCTATCAAATAGCAAATCCTTATAGGTCATTCAAGCACTGAATCGGGAAATCATGATCACTGGTTTAATCGAATTCATGCTGAAAACATGAAAAGAAACATATCAAATGGAACAAATGGTGTAATGTATTCGAATTCAAAATCTATGGATGTTCCTTTAAAACAAACGCCTTCAAATTCTGAAGAAATGTATGCGTTTCGTCGCGATGATATTACTAGACGTGCATGCTCACCCATCTATCGAAATTGGCCAACAAATTCAGTGAATCCCATAGAGGATTATAATTTTTCGCCGTCTTCTGAACCGAATAGCCCGAAGAAGTCTCTTAGTTACACTGATACTGTTGTCTAATAAAAATATTATATAGAAATGTACTTTCGAAATTTTGACTTGAATCTTTAGAATCTTATTGCTAGAGTAATTTATATATTAGTCCAGAATTGTTCACTGATTTTGTATTTTTTAAAATGTTTCTGCTCAATAATTATTCTACTTTGGAAATTGATATGAGATGGAAAATTATTTTGTTTTCGATTGCTATTATCTGCTCTATTACTTTATGGCCATAAAATTTTCGACAACAACTTCAAAAGCATCAATTTTTAACGACTTTGAAAAACAATAAGCAAAAACAATTTACGAATAAATTAACAATAATGATCCAAAGAAAATTTTCTATACACAATAACAAATAAAAATGGATCGTTTAGAATGGAAAAGAATGTATGATGATAAAATTAAGAAAGACTATTAAGACTTGATTATTACCACTAAAAAATTGAGAATTTAAGAAAGAGATATAAAGCTAAATCAATCAACTAAATTCGACTAAAAAATTTTCAGCATTTTATGCTCATCATGGAAAGAAATATACCACTTTTAAATGGAAACAAATAATAAGAATATGGTGAAAACAAAAGCGCTTAAATGCTTAACTGCGTTAATCTAGTAACGAATAATATTTAATTCAAAACACTGAAATATTTCAGAACTATCATTTAAAATCTTGAAATGTTTGAAATTCTAAGCATATTTCATAAAAGCCTTTGAAAGTAATCAGTTTAGAATTAAATATTTTCGAAGGAAAATAAATTGGCGAAGTATAAAAGCAAATTGCGATGATGATCAAAAGCAGCTGACCGGTTTTTATGAAACGATATTTAACGGCAAGATATCTATTGATCGGGATTTAAAGCAGCGGAGACAGCTACTAGAACTGGCTCGAATATTTTTCGATATCCTTCCTGTGTTAAATGTACATAATCAAACATATCATGAGCATCAATATGTTCATTCGCACCTGAAAATATTCCAATATTTACCAATACATTAATTTTACACATAAAACTACTCTTTCTCTGCTCTTAAGAACAAATTTTTTGACCCACAGTATGAAGCCTTAAAAATATATTTCGATATATATCAAACTTAAATTTTTTAATTTAAATTTTTCATAGATTTTTTTGAAATCTTCAAAAAATATAAATCTAACATTTATAAAAATTTGAAAAGTTCTCTTAAACAACTCTTAAATAACAACAAATAATAATTTTATTTTTTCGTTTTCCTATTTTCATATAAATAAAAATGAAAAAAAGTCAATTACAATTTCCATAATACAATATAAAATGCAATAAAATAGAATAACAACAATAACTTTTAACATAACGATTTGCAATAACATTAAAGGCCTTATTCAATATATAAACAAAATATATACCTTGAATTGATGGCTCGATATCAATGACTTCAGCGATTCCACTTAATATTTTCTCCAACTCATCGTTAACACAATTTACAAAATCTCGGCGTTTGTTGGGCCTTCGTCCGCTGGGAAGAAGTTTCTGAAATAAAAAGAACGATGGGAAAAAACAAAATCAAAAATTTCTGAAATAAATTACTTCCGAAAATTACAAGAATATCATGGCTTAAAGGCTAAAGAAAAATGTACATTCTACTACATTCTACTTCTACAAATTTTAGATTTTCGAAGATATATGATAAATAATCCTTATTTTCACAATAATTTATGACACTTTAAATAAATTATGGAAAAATCAACAGCGCTGGAAATAAGTAAACTTAAACGTTTTAAAAAGTTCATATATTATCTGAACATCTGACGTATATTTCAAAATTCAATCTGACGTCTGACGTATATTTCAAAATTCAAAGAATAAAAAATCTTACCAGGAAATACAGCCTTGCATTAGGCTTTTGCGACTTGACCGTGCCAGCCACGCACTTTAAACCTTCAAGCATTTCATTTTTATTTAAATTATAATCCGAATTACCAATTGAAACCACAATTACCTGCAATTCCCAACAATCTCGATATTTCGGAGACAAGTTAAAGCAAAAGTTTTTTCAAAATCAAATACAAAATAAGCAGGAATAAATCAGAATGCCAATAAAATGCCAAATTACCTTTGGATCTAATCCTTCCAGAATATTATTATTTAATCGCCATAATAAATTTGTGATCCTATCACCAATTGCTCCAAAACACAAGCAATGCATTGGGGCAATACTTTCACGATAAATCTGAAATAAAGAAAACGAATTTTATTGAATTTTTTCGAATAATAAAAAAATTTCAATAAAATTAAATAATTACATATACAATAACTGTACAAAATATACTAAAAATATACCGAAGTTTGTTCAAGAAAAGCGATATGGTCATCACCAATGAAGACAACATCTGCTTCTTTGTCCCTCGATTCTGATGCAAACCATTCTTGCTGAAAAATATTTATTTTTTAAAAAATGATAGAAACCATAGTGACAAACGGCTTGATGGACAACAATAAGTAAATAGAAAAAATAAAATTTTAAAAAAATAGTTGAGAAAATAGCACCAAAAAAAGGCTCTAAAAAACAAATTTATAAAAGAAATAAATTTTTATAAAAATTCAATTTTAGATTTTAAATAATTAAGAATTAGAGGCAGACAGCCGAGCATTCAGACTAAATCACCAGACGAGCACTCGAGGACAGATCCAGCAGCTTGTGATGAGAGTAAATCCTCCATTAAAACTGTCGGCTTGCTGCGGACTCGTCTATTCCCGTTTACTCGGTTTCAAACGATTCCTTGACAAAAATTTCTTATCGCACGCAGCGCTTATCACTTACTTAACAAATAAAAGTTGCATGAAGATGAATTTCTTGAAAAGAAATGAATATTCTCAAAAATAAAAATAAATAAAAATTTTACCAAATCATTCCACCGATTATCACTGAAATAATCTTCACGTGCATCATTTCGTGCTTCCATTTTTAATTTAATTTTCCAAGCAAATTTTTTCTGCAATTTAATTATTAAGTAAAAAATAGAAAAATAACGTACAAAACAAATTCGGCTGAATATGATTTAAATGAATAAACTTGTAATGAAACAAAGTAGCCGAGTGGGTTGCTTTTCACTCCGCCGATGAGCGCCATTTACGGCTGAATTAGACAGCTATCTTCCAAAATGCCAGGAAGAACTATAGGCTGCGGATTTGAGTGCCTCCGCCATTCACTGCAACTTTTTTCTTCTCCAACCAAGGCAAAACAAACCAAAGCTTTTTTTTTTACTTACATGTAATTGCAACGAATTTTTACTGCTACTAATGAAAAAATATTTATTTAAAAAATACTCAACTCGTAAAACTTCAAAAAATTACAACAAACAGGTTCTATCCAACCGCTATCTTATTTCGAAACCCCTGCTGCTTGTCAATAGAATCGAAAGTCGGTCAGCGTTACTTGTGCTTTCTATCCAGGAGGATCTCTATTGAAAGGGGGAATCACCTTAGCCAATTAGCAGAATCAGCCAAATCGAAGATGGCGACTATTGTTAAGAAGAAAAAGCAGCCCGAGTTGTTTCATTATATTATATATTTTTTTAAAGAATACTTATAATTACTCGTTAGACTTGTTCCACTGGCTAACCGAACTAGACAAATATACTAAAATGTCCCCTGGTGATGGAAGTGCAGGTAAGTCGACAGCGCTGATGGTCCGAACTGAGCTCTCCTTTGCTTCTCCATTAGGAACAATGCCGCCCGATAAAGAGAGGCGCGGGGGATTCGAAACCAAGCCTCGATTCTCGGTGGCACCTACCTTGCCAGCCACCGACGCAACCTACTAAATGCCCTTTTGAATTACATTAGCAACATTGAGAAAGCAGCTCAGAGCACCATCAACAAGCAAATCACGGCTCCACAAATGGACAGCTAAGTGACGAAATGGCACCTCAAAATGCAATTTTCCTTATCGATCACAAACAAAATTCATCACCGTGGAAGAACAAACGCTTCAGGAAAAAGTAACAGTTCTTACAACTGAAAAATTTCTTTTGCTCCTTTATTGCTCGCAGATGGACTTACTGGTAGGTCTCTAGCAATGCCGCCGCTCGCAGATCGACTTACTTCTAATTTTAGGTTTTCCTCGTTCCAGGAATCGAGGCTGCAGCATACATTGCGCAACGCATCAAGTTGAATCATATCAAAATAGTTGCAAATGTTTCCTCACATAATTTTTCCGTTATTCGGACCATAAAGCGATGGAAGCCAGAGAAAACCTCTTTCCTCTTTCCTTTTTCCTTTAAATAGCCTCTCCACTCTCATTGGCCATGTTCCGCAGCCATATAGCAAGATCGAGCGAACTGCAACTATATGGACGAGGACTTTCGTTTTGATGGCGGTTTCGCGGCGGCCCTAAAATTTCCGTCGACTGGAGGGATACATTTCTAGAAAGCCCCTTACCCGGGCTATAATTCCGTCTTTTCGTGACCGTTTGGTATTAGAATGGATCCAAGATACCTAAACTTTCTTTTTCCGACACTTCCTCAACCGACAATGAATTGATAAAAATGAATATTTTATATTCACCTAATCTGAATAATATATATATGTAAGACGAAAATATTTTCGTTTTATTTACATTAACTCTGAGACCGATTCTCGCTGCAGTTGTTGATTGTTGACAAATTGTTTAGCATTATTTGCATTTCGTCTTAATTGTCACTACAGGGTTTTAGTAAAGCAAAAAATTAGGAGAGAAATTACGATAGGACGCTTACGAGATTTTAAAAGTAATAAAGGATCACGAAGATCATAAAGGGTAATCATAAAGAATTCTAAAATTATCAAAGGACAATAATGGCGTTTAGCAGGATTAGGGATAATAGTACAAGGAAACGAAAGTAGTGAAAAAGTATAAGGTAAATATTTAATATTTCCGCAGTAATTATATGAGAATCCGAATCAAACAACAATCGCCTGCTTGTTTATTTCACTTTCTCTTTCAATAATAATGAGCCTTGAGTCTCTTCCATCGAATAAATATACGAATGAGAAAATTTAGAAAATCCCTTTTGATAAAATCAAGGATTCTAGTCGAACGATTTAAAAAGTTGACCGGAATTTATTAAACACTTCCACTTCCCTTGTGTCTCTTTTATGTGAATTCTTCTCATTTAGTTGATTAGTTTTATTCGAATTAGTCGTCGATGTTTAGAATATTAAATGCTAAGTAAAAATTTCGATTAAAAGCTATTAAATAATACATATTATGATTTTCAAAAAGAGAAAGAAAGCTAAGAGCCATATGCGAGTATATGTATTAAGCTGAGAATTTTTCAAAGACGCCCACTCAGAGATTGGAACTTAATTCGCGAAATCCAGATTTCTGATCCTTCTTCTTCGTCTAACAGCCATCTCTCACTATTATTGGTTAGGCTGGCTTCCCTGGCTATAACGGTGAGACGTTCCAATTCAAACGATCCAAATAGGATGCCATTTCTGGATTTGTGACATTGATTTACGAGTGTATGCGTTTTACGATAGTGTCGTATAACGTAATCACGAGTGTAGTACATCTTCAGTGCTATGTATTTTCTGCTCAAAATTTTCTGAATGAATTAAACGTTATGATAATGCATGATAATTATGATAATTGAATGCTCAGATCCATATCAGTTAAACCTTTCCATTTGTATACTTTCCGATCACCGTTTGATGGTTGATCGATGGGTCATCAAGTAAGCATTAAGATAATTTTTGATCAAATAAAAATGAATGATTATTCAATAAGGAAAGCTCGTAATTTATTTAAAAAAATCAATTCATAGAAAAAACGATAGCAATAATGAATTCAATATTCAATTACAATAAATTGAAGAACTAACTGATTCAGTGAAATTTTTTTTCAAAATAAAATAATTACTAACCTAAAATCGACGAAAAAATCTGTTAACTTTCATTCAGAATTCAATTTAGTAAAAATTCACCGTTTTTTCGCCATTTATTTCATTTTCTTTGATTTGGAAATTTACTAAAAAATTTGTCTTTTTTACTAAATTTACTAAAAAAAAATTAAAAAATTTGCCTAAATTGTATTTCTCAAAATCTTTCTTTAAAAAAATACTATAAATTATTCAGCGAAAATAAATGATTTACAGCAATAATAATAGCTTTTGATCTGAATTATGGAATTCATTATTTAAAAAACAAAAATAAAATTGGCGAATTAAAAAATAAAAAAACAGTAGCAGTGTTGATTTAATTTCAATTATTATACAACAAAAAGCAATAAAACAAATTATGAAAAATTCGCACCTCTATGAATACAAATAAAGCACGTAAATAGACGATATTCACGTCACGTTTAAACATTTATCACCACGTTTATATTTCTAAATTTCTATAAACAAATACAAAAGAAGTCACTGAATTTGCTTCAACTTCGAATAATTCAAAATAACTTAAAATACAATAATATTGCTTAACTGCATCTATATCAACTTTATCACTTAAAAAAAAGTAAATAAAAAATTGCGGTAATCACTCGCTTATAACTATGAATAAATGGGAAATTTGATTAAAGAATTAAAGAATATAGTGAGAAATTTTCAAGAAAAGATAAGTTTTTAAAATGATGATTAAAAAAAAAACATGCACAATATATTGTTCAAATATGAGGCCGAAAATGGGAAGAACTAAAAAAAGAGCTAAATAAAACAAAAAATCAATCCTAAGTCGAAACGTAGAAAATTCCTTACATAAGTGATCGAACTGTGCGATTTAATTTATTGGTCTGAAAATTCTTTTTTATTTTCAATTTTTTTCTAAAACTTTAAATAAATCAAAAAATTATCGAAAAAAATGGATTATTATATAGAAAAAATTTTAATGGTTTTCTTTTCAAAATCAAAATGAAACAGCAACACATTATGAAAGAAAGCTTGGCTGAGATAATTAGAACATACTGCGTGCTTTTTGTTGTAGCGCTTTTACCCGTTCTGTTACATCAGTATTATCACCAGTTTTGCATTCGTTATCGGGAAATTCGCGAGACACAACACAGAGATATTCGCTCTGCATGTCGCTTTGATATTGAAATTGGCCGATGGGTATTAACTTAAAAATATTGACCATGGAATTGAATTCTTATCTCGAATAAATTGTAAAGCACTAGGAAAAACTGCTAAATAATTTTGATGAACCAGAAAAAAGGACGAATTTCAATTTTACCTGTTCAAATTTCCATCCATCTGACATAGCTGATATAACATTTGTTAGTTCTTCTTCATGACATTGCAAGACGCGATAGACATGTTTCGTCTGAAAAAATTTAAAATTAAGTAATATTCAAAGTGAGCCAGTGCATCTCAAAAAATACCTGCTTAGTTTTTTTTGTGACCATTTCAGCCAAACGTTCAGAACACAACTGAATAAGCCGAGGTAGATTATAAAATTCAGCTTCTTCGAGTACACCTGTGATAAAATTTGTTCAAAATATTGAAAAATCTAATAATTTGTATTAATAAATATAGCCAAAAAATGATGAAATATTCTTAAATATATTTTAATACAATCGATGGAAAAAATTAACCGATTCCAAATCATTACCTTCAATACTTACTCCCTTATTCACAACAAGTTTTCCATGTCTCAAATAGTTTAAAACAGGAGCAAAATATTCAGGGTCACGATCTATGAGAAATGCACCAGATTCATCCTCAAAAAATTTTCTTTAAAAAAGAGCAAGAACTAAATTAAGGATTTTTACTCACACTGTAAAAATATTTTAAAAAATATTTAGGCAAAATGCGGAAAATACTTTTTCACTCGGTAAATCATCTTCAGCTTGACAAAGCCTAGCTAGAAATGAATTAGCTTCGCGACGCAACGTTTGCCGTGTCGTTTGGAAAATCTAAGAAATTGAACGCAAATAAATTAATGATAAAATATGATTAATTTTTACAACCATTTTTAAAACTTAAAAACTAAAGAAAACTAGAATAAATTATTGGTAACGAAAAAATATTTTTTATATAAAAAAATTCCAAAACAATTCAATAACTATCTCATTATGAAAATAATCTAAAATGACAACAAACCCTTCCACCAACATTCAAACGTATCCATCTTTCTCTTGATTCATAACGATGTTTACGCACATCATTTCCAGTATGAAGAGATGGTGATGAATTGAAGGTTGCAGGTACATTAGCAATCAAGGATGGTGCAAATCCGACAGCTGGTGATATACGACAACTCTAAAATAAAAAAAATAAATCTCAAAGTATTATTAGTTATTAGCTTTTTCTTCATATACTGGCAGTAGATCAAAAAGTTAAAAAATTAAAGCCAACCTGATCATTTATTCTTCAAATTTTCAATATCAATATTACGAATAAATCTTAATTTCTTATCGATAAAAAATAAGAAAATATCGGTCGATTTTTATTATGGAAAAATGTTCACAATCGGAATGTTAATAAAAAAATGACCGTAGTTTTTGGTGAATGCAAAATTTGATTAGTTGTATTAGTGTGGTCCATTGATTCATCGTTCGATGGAGGCGCAATTGACAATCCAATGGGTAGCGAAGCAACTGCCATTAATATTGCTAAAAAAAATTGAATATTTCCAATTTTAACACTGAAATAAGCAAATAATTTAAATAAAGAAATAAATAATAAATTAATAAATAAAAAACGCAAACCACGATTCGATAGAAATTTGTTAGTCTGTAAACGAATCGTATATTTTTCTGAAACTTATTATTTATTTTCCTTAATTGCCATACGAATTGGAAAATTCATGTCGACAAGAGAAATTTAATTCACCGCTTTCTTTTTTTCTTTTTTCCTTTTCAGTATCAAAAGTATTGAAAAATATTTAAAACAAGCAATGAAAAAAATTGAAAGATTTAAAGGAAAACTCTAACGGAAACTGTAAACCGAAGAAAAAATGCCGTTTCATAATCAAACATAGAATTACATCAGTAATTAATGAAAATTTACTGAACTATCCGACTGAAATATTCAATAGAAAATAAAATAATAGAAAATTTTAAAGAAATTGTAAAATTAAACAACAGAATTATTATTGACCGAAGAAATCTTTGAAAAAAAACTAATTTAAACAATCAGAAATCGGATTATTTGGTTATTTCTTTGTGAAATTATTCATTAAAATCGTTTCTCGCCTGAAGAAATGCCCAATCAATCACTCATTTATAAAGATTGAGTATGGAAGAAAAATAATTCACAATAAAGGAAATGAATCCATTTCGTATGCATAAGTTTAAAAAACATCTGTGGCGCTGAACGTTATAGTCGCATTTCCTTTTTTCGGGAAGCAAATAATTCATAAATTATTAAAACGATATTGCTTTCTACATTACATCTCCTCATTTATCAAAAAGTGATAAAATTAAAGTTCGAATGGATTTCGTCGACGAACATCGTTATTTTTTGCATTCAGCGAAGGAATGTCGCCAATTCGCGAAAAATTCTCGCAGAAATTATTTTTAGAATAAATACAAATAGAAGAAATAACGAAAATCGCGCCGAAGCGGAGAACAACGAAAATCGACCACCGCTAAACGCAAAATAAATCAAACAATAACAAACATTCTCACAAAACAAAAACAAATAAATAAAAACGCAAATAGAAAATGTTAATTGAAAACGAAACGAATCGTTTAAAGCACAAAGAAAAGAGAAAAAAACGAGAAATAAAGAAAACGCTTATTTGAAAATTCGAAATTCCACAAATACAATGATTTCGATTAATAAAATTTTCTTCGCAAATCAACTTTATTTTCCAATCAAAAAATTAATTTTAAATTTAAATTAACCTATTAAAATTTTTATTAAAATTAATTAATTAAAAATAGAATTATTTAAAGTTAAAAGTAATTTGGAACTAAAAAATCATATAAAAGTCAAATTTATTGAAAAGTAAACACTGTCGAAAAAAATTCGTAAAAAAAAAAATTAAGATTGGAAGAAAAAAAACACAATTAGGAATAGCCAAACGGCAGCCGTAAAGTAGTAGTACAGTGAATTAGTTCGGCTGCACTACAGCAACAAATTTGGAAGCTGGCCAAGTATTTTTTGCTGGGAATAATTATGCGATTTTTTAATTGCGCTTGGTTGTAATGGTAATTGTTTTCGCTGTTTGTACTTTTTACAGATCCCGTTAGTTGTGATTTGTGCTTTCTTATTTGTCACCAATTTGTTATTATTCCGCACCTTAGGTGCTTGTGGGTTGTTCCCAGCTGCCGTTATATTGGTCCGTACGGACCCCACTGAAGTCCATGACGATCAGAGGGTCTGTGAAGATTTATGTAAATCTTATTTCTCTTATTTTATTTTCTGTTGATTATTTTATACAGTTTATTATATTCTTTCAAAACTCTTGAATGGAAAAATTTTAAAATTTGAAGATATCCCATGGATTTTTATGACATTATCGAGGGGAATCCGTGAAAAAAGATTCGATTATCGATTACATTCACAATGATTGATTGATAGCTCAAAAACAAGGAAGTTTAAGGGAAATAGAATGCAGTTTGATGGGGAAATTTTTGCGCCGAGTGGACAATTAATAATGAAAATCATTAGACATTTGGAATAGACGTGCTGGTTGGTTAACTTTTGGTAGTGGCATTGAGAAATTTAATATTAATAGTAAATTTATACGCGTTTGATATTAAATTTACAATTAATTTTTCAGTTTATTTACCAAATTCATTAATTTTCATTATAAAAGTTTATAAGGTTTCAAAAAAAGTATTTCAAATGTTGAAGAATATTTTTATTCGCTTTATCGCGTCCATAATGATAAATATTTTTTAATTTCAGTTTTAATGGAAAATTATTTTAAAATTTTATAAAAAATTCGCCTTAAAATGATTGCTAAAAAGCGAATTATCGAAACATTGAAAAAATCAAATTATTCGTTTCAAATTAAAATTTTTTATATTTTTAATACAATATTTTGTGTAAGTTTGTCTTCAGAACTTTTTTTTTTAAGAGTCCTCACCATTACTTATTAAACTCGCTTCGCTGGCTTGTCGCACTGGAAAAATATGCCTCTTGGCAATAGAAGCACAGGTGAGTCGCCAGCATCACCCGGGTTTTGGGCACGTTTACTCCTATGGGAAATCGAACGTCAGCATTCGGCGCTCCGAAATGAGCAACTGAGCCACTGAGCCATTCCATTTCCTAATTCTGGGTTATTCTGAAGATTAATTTTTGCTTTTATTTTATTCTTTTTTATAAATTTTTAGCTGCTTGGATTTGGTTCACTTGGCATTGGAGTATGGTTATATATCGATAAAAATACTTACAGTGGTTTAACTCCAACTTCATATAGCGCAATGTCTGCTGCAGGTTTATGTGCTGCTGCTGGTATAACTGCAGTTATAATCACTTTCGTTGGTTGTATTGCATTATGGATTGCTTCTAAACCACTTTTATTAGCGGTTGGCTTGTTTCTGAAGATTTATTTCATTATTCAAATCTCAGTAGTATATTTCTTTAATCTGATTTTTTTACCAAAATTTTTTGTAAATTTTATATCACAGAATTTTCTATTTATTTATATTTGAGAAAAAATTTGAGAGTTTTTCGAATTATTTCGTGATTTTTATTTTTTACGGATCTAAAAAATTTGTAAATAAAACTTGTCAGTCAGTCATGTTAAATTACTTTTTCAGAATTGAATTTTTATTTCATCATGAATTATTTCTTCAAATTTATAAAATTTTTGTTATATTCCAATTTTTTTTGCAGTATGTACTTTTTGTCATTCTGCTGTTTATGGTCCAAGCGGGGGTCAGCATTTTAACAATGCGTTATAAAGTGGACGTGAGTCGGAAAATACATGCTGATTTATTGAGAAATATCAAGCAAGACATAACTTTAAATCAACAGTACATTTTTCACGGAAATCAGATGACTTGGGATCTCATTCAGTCTGCTGTTAGTTTTCATTTCCATTCTGTATTTTCTACTAAAAAATGACGAAATTTCCTAATAGGTCATTTCGCTTTTTTGAATTTATGGCGATTCGTAGTTTCAGTCTGCTTAGCAAAATACTAACAGAAAGACAAAATTCGTATTGCAGTAAGAAAAGCAGCGAAAATTTTATTCAAGAAGGGTATAGTAAGTTCCATTATAAATTCAAATTAGTTGAGAAAAAAATGGAAAAAAAAAAGATGAAAGATTTACCTGGGAACAACAGATAGCAAAATTTTAGCATATAAAATAATTAACGATTAAAAATAAAAATGATATCAGAAATCTAGGGTTGAATTCTTTTTCTAAAAGCGCTTACTATTTCTGGTTAAGCTCGTTTTGTTGGCTTATTTAACATGACAGATTTTGCTAGAGAATTGCTTAGCAGTAGAAATGATGACCCAGTGTTACCCAGTTTTCAAATTTATTTCTACTGGAGGTATAGCCTCTGCAATGGAAACAAGAGCAATAAGAGCATTTGTAAAATATTTATAATTAAATTTGCAATTATTTATGAATTATATATCATAAATATTTTTGTATAATTTATTTTTTATTGTTTATTTTTTCTGTTTTCTGTTTTCTAGATACTAATGGAGTTACAAATCAAGTATACATATGCAGCGAGTTAAAATTTTTTTAAAATTTGTCGCTTAATTGGTCTAAAGTATTTCAGTTTAAATGTTGCGGCGTGGATGGCCCATCGGATTGGTTCAATAGTTCAAGGTGGCCGAAAAGTAATTATGTGCCTGATAGTTGTTGTGATCCGTCAAAATTTGATATATCCGGCTCAATGATTAACTGTGGAAAGGGCATTGACAACGCTTCTCTTTGGTTTTCTCAGGTTTTTTAATTTTATGATCAATTCATTTCATCAATTCTCTCAGTATGTTTCATAAGTTCTTATTTCATTCAGACCATTTTTTTTTAAGTAAAATTTATTTCGCTTATACGTAATAATTTGGAATTAACTAAAAGTTGACAGTTGTTGTGCCGTTGGCGTTTTCAGCTTGCTAATAAGCTGTTTTTTCGAATTAGGCATCTATTTATGATGATGGCAATCATCATATGAGAATTTATTTACTTTTTCTTTTAAATTTTCCCAAAATATCCATAGCAAAACCTCTGAATTATTATACCATTTTTTTAAACAGGGATGTGTTAATGTTTATTCTCATTGGCTGTTGGAGCATATACGTATCGTCGGATTCATTGCTATTGCATTTATTGTTTTAGAAGTATGTTTTTTCAATTTTTTCTTATCCTTCAAATCTCCTTATCCTTCAAATTTTTATTTGTTTTTACTTTTTATTTGTTCGTTTCTTGTAAATAAATTGAACTAAATTTAACTTTAAGATTATAAAATGAAAATTAATTTTAGATTATCTTTGATAAATGATAAATTGCAATACAGATGAATAATTTCAGGTATTCATTATTGTGAATTCTGTTATAATTTTGCTGTTAAATGTGGTTTCCAATAATTGTTCATGCTATTCCTATACTAAGGGTGTCGAAAACAGCCATAGCTGTAAACAAATTCTAACCAGTATCGACAGATGTCTATAGAGCAAAATGTTTTTAAGCTCTGCGTATAGCATCTTGTATATAATTTCAAATTCTTTGTGCATATATTCATAATTTACAGAAATAGACCGTGCAAAAAAGTAAATGTGTGAATGTGAAAATGAATATAGCAGTGAAAACAAGAATTGCATTTAAATATTTAAAATATGATTGTTCCAACAGCTTAGAAGAGATTAAGTTTCATTTGTTTAAAGGATGCGGTAAACGTTTCGAATATAAACAAGAATATGATCGATTTTTTATTTACAAAGCGAACTAAAAAGTTCCAAAGCATTGCTTTCTGGCGTTTCGGTCTATTTTTATAAATTAAAAAAGTTATACCTAACTTTTATGAATTACTTTTGGAGTATTTTGGGGAATATTATAATACTTTTAAGGTATTTAGAGATTGTAACATTTTTGGATTTTTGGCAAATATAATAGGGTTTTGTTATGGGGAGTGCAGCAAAATTCAAAAAGATTAATGGGGCAAAACATCGAATGGTGTTGTTTCGATTGAGATCAAGTATAATGGATTCGATTCTTGTCCTTAGATAAGAGTAATTTTGTTATTACAAGTGGAATCTGAGTGGTGTTAAGGACCAACATATGCGTTAACATATGTGTTATGTGTTAATTAGATGCTAATTAGCGAAAAATTCTCACGCTCTTAGTTATTAAAGTCAGAAACAGGTTTAGAAGTAAAAAAATTTTTATCGAAATTTTTTTTTCATTAAATGTATAATTTCTAAAATTGTATTGCTCCTCGTACCTTCCTATTATTATTTTTTTAAAATATTATTTTCTATTGGATTTTTATGGGTATTTACAAATTGTTACGCTTATTTATCCTTGCTTTCTTGTTTGCTTTTTGTTATTTTTTTATTATTTTTATTATTATTATATCATTATTATTGTTGGTACTTCTCTTTAATGTGGCTTATTTTTTTTTATTTTCAATATATTAAATTTTTTATAATAATAATTCCATATAAAATTCCATATTCTTTTTCCTTTTCATTTTTTGAATTTTTTTCATTTATTATTTTTTTATATAATTTGTAATATAATTTTTTTTCATAAAAGTTTCTACTCGTTTGTTGGAAGTTATTTTTTAAAAAAAATTACAAACTATATTATTGTAAACTAATTTCAATATTTGAAATGAATTCATCTCATAGAAATGTGTACAAAAAAAACCTGGAAATCTCGTCTCGTCGTAATCGCATATTGATGTGATTGGATTGAATGATTAGAAAGTTTAGGCAAATTAAAATAATAAAACAATGGAATTACATTTAGAGATAGTTTAATAATTGAGAGGAAAACTATTTTCACAGCGAACAACGACAATGAGTTAAAAATGAAGGAATGTTTCGAAAGCGGAAATGCAATATTTTTAGCGGGTTTAGATAGCGGCAAATGGAAATGCTAAGACTTTTAGCGGATTTAGATAGCGGCAAATGCGATGAAGCTGACGGACATTGTTTGTAATAACTGCTAAAATTCTAAGTATTAATAAATTCAATATGAATGTCGTCACAATTATAAGTTTACTTTCATGGGTTTTCGTGGTTTTTCATAACTACGAGAGGTTTTTTGTGGTTTTATGCAAATAAGCAAATAAAGGCGATTTCCTTCTGAATTTTTTATTTTTTTAAAAAGAAATTGGCTAATTTTCGAAAGGAAAGGGCATTCATAAATTTTTTTAAAATCTTTTCTATTCAAAAAGTTTTTAAATTTTATTTTATAAAATTTGTTAAATTCGATTAGATTTTTTTAAAAACGCATTTCGTCTTTGACACATTTAACAATTTTAATATTTATATAATATTTATGTGAAATTTATTGTTAATTTATAATTTATAAAATTTATTATAATGGAAAATAATTAAGAAAATAAGAGATATAAGTGTTCGTTAGGTTTGCTTAGTTTTTATTGTTGTAGTTGACGATTAAAAGTCCTCGTCAGTCCCCGTTTGGTGATGGAGATATCCTAGCATCACCTACTTGCTTCAATGACTGATAACTTCTATATGCGGTGGAGAATGGGCATATTCGACACGCTCAGGGCGGTAATTTAAGCAACCATTCGGCTATCGTATCCCTCTAATGCACGAAAAAAAAGATCGAAATTAAAGGAATTTGAATATAATGTAATCCATGTAATGCTTCACTGCTTCATTTCATATTTTTTCAATATAAATTTGATAATTCTATAATTCAATGAATTTTGCAAATAATTTTTCGGACAATCATCATAATAAAAATATTCGACAAATTTGAAATATAAATCAATCATTTGTTGTTTGTATTTATTACGAATTTTTTTAAAAATAGAAAAATTCATGTAAATTTTAGTACAAATTTAAGTAAAAATATTGAAAAATTTCAAAAATATTCGAAAATGATTTCATAATCGTTTGAAAAATTCATTTGACAAATTAAATTTAGTGAATTCTTAAAATTTTTATCAAATATTTTTCTTATAACAAAATTCTATTTCTCGAAAATACAAATTTAAAATTGTAATTGTAGAGCCAGAAGATCTTTCCACTCTCGTCAGTGCCTTTTCTCACGTTAAAATCGCGTTTAACAGTGTCTGTGCTATCGAAATGTTCATTGTGCGGTGGTCCCGTACATTGAAATTGAAGATCATTTGGATTATTACAAATATAAAATTCGTTCTGCAAAAAAAGGACGTTTTTCTCGATCATTTTTCGTTTGATCTATAAAATATTCATTCCAATTGCGGAAATTTTTCCCTATAATTTATAAAATTTCTATGAAAAAAATTTTTTAGAAATCAAAAATAATTTTAAAATAATTGAGATTTTTTATGGTTTAATAAATTTCTTATTTTTTAATTAAACAAATTATATCTTAAATTTTATTTAAAAAAAAATAACTCAATAATAGAAATTAAGGCCATAGTGATAAGTGATGATAAAAGCTATTGTCGCGGACAAATTTCTCGTTCCAGTTCCACTTGCTTATTACGACATTTACTATTTTTCTTACAACTTCCTGAATTCATTTTTTTTTCATCCTCGAAATGTCAACTTATTTAATTTATCTGACCATTCATTGCTAGTTGTCGCTCATATTCAATTAACTTTCGAATAAATTTGGAAATTTTCACTTTTTTTGTGTCTGATACGCATAAAATTGTATTTCTATAATTTACAATAACATATTCTGGTGGTTTTTTAAATATTTTCTTCAATTAAATAATCGAAATTAGCCAAAAGGCTTCGTTTCTATCATTTCAAAATAGCTTTGACTTTCGACAAAGTTTTCTGTTATATTGAAATATTCGTTTATTTTTACGAATGATGGTTTATTGTGAATTTATTATCTGGTTGAATGTTTTCCATTAGAAAAAGACATCTGAATTTCCGTTTGAATGATATTCAAAATTTTTAATTCTCATATTATATAAAATAATTGGAGCAAACAAAATGATAGATATTTTTCATCTTAAATTTTATATACAAAATAAAAATATTTTGAACGTTAAATATTTCCTGTAGAAAATATTTTAAAAAATATATGAAAAATATGAATTTTTGATAATTTTGACATAACTTGGCAATTGATAAATATGACTTTGAAATGCAAATTGTTGCTGGTGTTTAATCATATTTTTCATTAATTGCCATAATTCAGCTAAGCGATTTTTGCAAATTTTTTGCATATTTTTGCAAATTTATCAATTTGTTTGAAAAAACAAATTGGCTCGGATTTGATAATTTATTTCTTACTTTTTCGCCATTTAAATTTACTTATCGATGACAAATTTATTTAGAATTGGAATAGATTTTTTTCTAAGAACGCACAACGAACGCTAATTTTTATGAATTAATTCTATAAATAATTCTTCATCGTTCATGTGAGAGCTTTTCTTTTAGCAAGAATTGTTTTTTTTTAAGAATAAAAATGAAATTTTTAGAGAATTTTCTGTGGAAATATCCAAAATTGATTTGATTTCTACAATACCTCTAATAAGGAAATACGGTTGGAAAAGACAAAACTATGGATCGATGGATTTTATTTAATTTAGAAAACTTAAGGAATTATCGACTGTAAATAAATTTGAGGCTAAAATATTTAGCAATAAACGCGAAAATGCAAAAATTACTTGTATTTCGAAATTATTTATATTATTAAATAATCGCATTTTTATCATATTTTTATTATGGCTGCTAATTATTATAGCTGCTAATAGAAAATAGAAAATATTTATTAGTATTACTATTATTATTGTTATTATTATTATTAAAATATTATTATATTGTTATTATTAAAATATAAATCTAGAAGAAACAAGAAATCAGAAAAGAGTTCTATCGTGATAATAGAATGATTTAAAAAAAAACAAAAACATTCATGGAACTGGCAATGAAGAAATATAAAAGTGCAGTTCTAGTTCATCTCAAGAAGTGCATTCTCGCTTGCTGTAATTAATTTAATAGGCAAACGAATATTATTACAATTCTGTTCTACTGTTTTAAGTTATATTGAAATTAATTAATTTCTTTGCTGGAACAAGGTAAATTCTTTGCTATAAAGTAGAATAAGTTTGGAAAAAGAGAAATCAAATTTCAAAAGATCTAATTTTCAATCGAAAAAAATAAAAATTCAAATATTTCATTTACAATAAGAATTTTTTAATAGAATTTCACGATTATTTCCAATTTTTCTATTTTTTAACTATAATTTCCATTCTTTTGAAAAAAATTTTAATAATTTTAATAATAAGTGCGTATGGACGTAATTTATAAAATTTCGAATTTAATAAACAATCTTGTTTTGTGAATAATTCAACTAAACGCTTCAATAGTAAGAAAATATTAAAATAATGATATAATAATGGAATAATGATTATAAAATATAAGAATTATAAATTATAATAAAAAAGCCTTCACTTAAAAAGCCAAATAAAAAAAGAAAAAGAAAAATAAATTGGCTTAAAAATCAAATTTGCTATTTATTGTATTACTCTAAAATATAAATATAATAAATATAATATAAATATAATTAAATATGAATATAATTTAGCATAATTTAATATAATTATAATTTTATATGAAAATTTACTTTAAATTCCATTGATTTAAAAATTCCATATATAATTTTAATCTAAGTTGCATTGGAATTCATTCTTTGTTTCCTTATTTTTTTATTTATTTATTTAGAGACTAAGAAAGGATCAATTCGAGATTCATTTTTAAAAATATTTTTTAAATATTTTGAATATCTTTGGTAACTTTTCAATTAGTCTTACACTTTTGTAACTTTTAAAAAAAGAAAATGAACAAAATTCTACAAATTCTTATCCTAAAAAAAATCTCTCGCTCTTTGTGGGTGGTGAGGATTATCCTCTACCTCGGGTGCTTTACCAAAGACCAAAGAGATTGAGGTTTCTTCTAGATAGAGATGTTGCTCCTGGAATCTGCTGGAATCCACTTTTTTAATTTACGGGCTATAGTTCCAAGTGCTCCAGTTATCGCTGGAATTCCTTTGGCCTTCACTTTCCATATCTTCTCTAGTTCCTC